CTTACAGAGCCACGGGGACTTGTATTTTGGCTAAATTATATTTCTCCTTTCTGTTCCACAGCTTGAGCTCCTCCACTGGACAATCTCTCCTGTGAACTGCTGGCTCCACAGCCACCAGACCAACTCATACCATCTCATCTCCTCAAGAGACACGACCGCATAGCAAAGAAAAAGATAACTCTGCAAACTATGCACAGGCCCAGAGAGGAAACTCAAATCTATAGGTCCCTGCTGCATTATTCTGATGACACAGCACGTGGTGTTTCCCAATTACAACAGTCAGCATTTCTGGGCTTCTGAAGTGTTGTTGAACAAAAAAAATTCAGCAGAAAATTTAGACTTAATGTCTTTTTTTTTCCCCCATTGAAATTTTAAAACAAAGCATCCCTCTCTTGTCTCCCCCATCTTCACTTAAATCATGATACATCTTTGTTCTCATCCTCTTCCCTGAGTAACTTGGTGTTTGAACAGACTGATGCACTCTGCTGTGACAACCTTAAGATGCTGAGGATGTTTAGTTCCACTTCCACCCTACGGACAAGCACAAGCCCTGTTATTTGTCCCATCCTGTTCATAATCACCAGTTTTGGACTGTTTTCTCCTGACTGACAGGCTACCATAACGGCTGAGTTGAAGATACAGAGGCAGCTCATCTTCTGGCTGCAGCTGAACCTCTATGAGATTCTTTAGAAGTATTTAAGAGGTGAATTCCTTCTCCTTCTCTTTATGGCTCTGTCCCTACCTTCTGGCATCTGGTCTCTTTCCCACAGGTGACCTGTTCAGTTATAACTAATGATGAAGGATGCATTTCTGATGATGCCCAACAGATTTTTCTCACAGGGCATAAATATTGAGAAAATGTTTCCCACCCCCCACTCCAGGGGGAGAAAGCACAGAAAAACCAGCAGCCAATGGCCAACTCTTTTCACTTGGGATTCTCTACACTAATTCCTTTAATATCCTATAGATGGGCTGTGCTAAGTATTGTCTGTGCAGATAACAGAGCCTATGATGGCCAGTATTGCAGCTCAGAGGTATTACGCTCTGTGCCAAGGGGCTACCAAGGAAAAATCTCCAGTTCTTAGAAGGCAAGGATTCACCACAGACATAAGCAGAGGTTGTCTTCTCATCCTATCAACCAGACACACAAAGCTATATACTTTGCTGATTGTATTTCTCTGTAAAAAGCACCCAGAAGTGTTTGAAATCTGCTCTATTTCCTGCTGGGAGTCAGTTTTAGGAACTGGACAAGTTCTCATAACAGATTTTGGGTGGCTGCAGCATGGACTTCCCACTCCACATACAACAGCGTTCCAGTCCCTAAAGGGGGTACAGGAGAGATGGGGAGGGACTCTTGATCAGGGAGTGGAGTGACAGGATGAGGGATTACAGTTCTAAACTGGAAGAGGTGAGATTTAGATGAGATATTATGAAGAAATTCTTTGCTGTGAGAGTGGTGAGACCCTGGAAGAGGTTGCCCAGAGAAGCTGTGGCTGCCCCATCCCTGGAGGGGTTCAAGGCCAGGCTGGATGGGGCCTTGAGCAACCTGGTCTGGTGGGAGGTGTCCCTGCCCAGGGCAGGGGGTTGGAACTGGATGATCTTGAAGGTCCCTTCCAACCCAAACCATTCTGTGATTCTATGACTCTAACCTTACCAGACTTACTAAGGAGCCCCAGAAACATGATAAATAGGTGTGGGGCGCTCGTGGGGAAGGGCTGCCTCTCTTCAGAGCGGATCTGTGCCTAACAAAGCCTTTCCCTGGGGAAGTGGGTCTCGTCCCTACCTTTCTCAAAGGCTTCAGCTTTGTCTCCATGATGAACTCGTACTTGCAGAGCTCGCAGCACCGCGTGTCCGAGCTCTTGATCCACTGCTGCAGGCAGGCCTGGTGCACGAAATGAAGACTTCCCGTGCAGTGACAGGGGGTAATCAAAGGGCTCTCATCGTCTCCTTCGCAGTGACATATCCTGGATCAGAAGCAAAGCTGCTCGTTAGGAGAAGGGGAAGCAGGAGGGAGGAGGGGGGAGGCATGTCATATCTGCGATCGCACGCGGCCCGTCCCGCTGAGGAATCCTGAGACATACATATCAAAAGGGATGCGTTCCACAAAGGAGCTACAACTAAAGAACTCCATCACTGAGCAAGCACATCCACAGGCACAAAATAACTGAGCACAGACACCAGGCAGCTGCTTTCCAACAGATGAGGCGGACACGCGGAGCCTGACAGAAACGCGGTACCCCGAAGGGGGGAAAAAAAAAAACAAAACAACAACGAAGGGAAGAAATGACAAGGCTTCATCCAGAACAATAGCACTTAACTGAAAACAGCATTTAAACACATCAGACAGCACTTCCCAAGACAAAAGATGCACAGAGAGGTGCAGCTACTCATGGATTACCATCTGAAACAGAAGATAAAACAAAATTCCCAAACCCATGGTGAGACAGCCCACCTCTGCATCACGAAGAGTTAATTTAGACAGCCTAGAAGTGATTTTTTTTCCAGTGCCAATTGCTGAGAGACAGATCCACACTGGAAAGCACTGAATCCTCCCCAAAATACACCTACTCTAAATGGACTAATGGCTTTGCTCTCCGATTCCTGCTTTGCCAGGAGCTGCTAAGGAAGCACCAGCTCTGCAGAATTCCCCTTTTCCATCAGAGTTCCAGCGTGCAGAGGGCAAGGACACCCGATACAGTGTTAACTAACAGGTGCTGCTGTTTGATTCCCAGCTTCAATTTATACACACAGCCCTTGGGTTGCACCAAACATCATCACCCAGTCCTTCTAAACCACGTAGGAGAGGCCATGAACTGAAAGGGGGCAGGAGGGATGGATAAGGAGCTCAGGGAATGAATATATGTTACTAAGCATATGTGAAGCACGTCCTGGCCCGCTGCCACCCCTGTCTAATACTGAAATCTCCTGACTGATGTGTAGCATCTTGCCTCTTGCAACCTTGCTGAGAGCTGGCAAGTGGAAATGAGGGAGTGGGCGGATTGCGACAGCGTCTTGTTGATGACAAGCCAGCACGGAGCTAGATTTTGCTGGTAATGAGGGGGAGAAATCAAAATAATATCGGCAAGTAGTAACAAAGGCAGCTTCAGAAAGTGCCATCAGGGAGGAGAAAGATTAGGGTAGTAAAACACTAGGTAGAGGGATGGGACATTTGCTTCTGTACTTGGTGACTCCTGCTCCTCAGCTGCATTTTGGAGCTGGGATGGGGCACACCTGAAGAGAAGTCACCATGAAGACAGTCCAGAGCTGGCTGATGATTAAACCTCTGTAGCTGGAACTAGGACAGCTCATCCTTCCTGGGACCTCACACTACGGACATCCCATGGGCCCACCACTAACACCCAGCCCTCAGATCCCCCTTTCGACCAAGGCATCCAGAAAGCCCTTTAAGAAAGATTGTGGTGGGAGACAAACTATGAGAAAAAGATGAAAAAAAACCTCTTAAGCTATATTGACCTGCTCTCAGCAGCAATTTTCAAACATTCTGTTTTCCTCCTGACTCCCCACCCTCTGGCCAAACCAGCAGCGATGTCAGGACAACATGTCACTCATTAAAAGCTAAGACAAGTTCATCTTCACCTTTAGTTCTCTCATGATATTCCCAGTTTGGGCACTGATAAGGGAAAGACACCATCTCAGAACCCCCAAACCCCAAACCGAATAGCAATTTATTTGACTCCAAAGGAAATTCTTTTGCTTAGTTGCCTTGTTAAGTGCCTCAGAGGGGTGGGGGACAGCAGAGAGAAGGCCGCATGCTGCCAATCACAGGTAGTAAAGCAAGGTGACAGGGTGACGAAGGGAAGACAAGACACGGCACGAAGGCAGGGGGGGAAGCAGAAGGGTCACCACCCACACGTGGGGAGGGCTCGGAGGCCGGCGGTTCTCTGGTCAACCAACCTGCAGGTATCCCCCGATGTGGACACAGGGGAGAGAGGGGGGAATTTTTCTGAGAGGGGGGATGGACAGTCAAGGTCACTGTCCTTCTCAACGGAACAGAGCGGGGCCCGCTGCTCTTTTGTCCTCAGTTTCACTGAGGTGCTGTCCTCGAAGACGTCGTCGTCTCCCATGTCATCGGAGCAGAAGTCTGTGCTCTCCACCAGCACGCTGGAGGACTTCTCCGCTTGGAAGTGACTGGAATAGCTCTCCAGCTCGTGGAACTTATGCAGGCTGCTGGTGCTGGAGGTGTGGGAGAAGGAAAAAAGGTAACGCAGCAGTTTTTTGCTCCTTGAGGTGTCATAGTCCACTTTGTCCTCCAGCAAGGGGATATGCACAGCGCTGTGGTTCTCGGCTCCTCCCGAGGCGCTCGAGTAGTTGGAAAGGGAAGGGAGGTAGGAGTGCTTAGAATTGCTAAAAGAAAGAGGCCTGAGACTGAGCGGTTTCCTCTCTTTGAGATGAAATTTGTTAATCCTCAAACACTGCTCTTGAGCCGGGATCAGCTTGCCTTCCGAGCGCGTCCGCTCCACGTAGTCAAAGCCCTCGCTGGTGCCCTGCGCCTTCTGGTCCACGTCGTTGAGGGACTTGGAGAACTTCAGGGCACGGGTGGGCTTCACGTTCTTAGCAGACCTGAGAGCCTGGCCCCGATCCTGCCCGCGGGGGTTTCTCTTGGCTGGGTGTAAGGCGTCCTGACAGATTACTGTCACCGTGACCCCTTGTGTCAGAGGGCTCTGGCAGTGAGGATTTTTCAAGACAACAGCGGACTGCACTGGACTGTGATGACAACACTCAGAAAACACTGCACTGGAACTGCATGCAGAACAGTGGAATAAAAGCACAGAAAGTGAAAAAAAAAAAAAACAAACCAACCCAACAGATTACGTAAGAGAACACGTATAATTAAAAAGCGAAGAGATGAGAATTACAGCTAGGGTGGGAAGGGCAAACATAGCAGGGGGCTGAACGGTCAGTGGGATTCGAAAAAAAAAAAAAAAAAATCTTAAGCTATATTGACCTGATCTCAGCAGCAATTTTCAAACAGTCTGTTTTCCTCCTGACTCCCCACCCTCTGGCCAAACCAGCAGCGACGGTCAGGGCAACACGTTCCTCATTAAAAGCTAAGACAAGTTCATCTTCACCTTTAGTTCTCTCATGATATTCCCAGTTTGGGCACTGATAAGGGAAAGACACCATCTCAGAACCCCCAAACCCCAAACCGAATAGCAATTTATTTGACTCCAAAGGAAATTCTTTTGCTTAGTTGCCTTGTTAAGTGCCTCAGAGGGGTGGGGGACAGCAGAGAGAAGGCCGCATGCTGCCAATCACAGGTAGTAAAGCAAGGTGACAGGGTGACGAAGGGAAGACAAGACACGGCACGAAGGCAGGGGGGGAAGCAGAAGGGTCATCACCCACACGTGGGAGGGCTCGGAGGCCGGCGGTTCTCTGGTCAACCAACCTGCAGGTATCCCCCGATGTGGACACAGGGGAGAGAGGGGGGAATTTTTCTGAGAGGGGGGATGGACAGTCAAGGTCACTGTCCTTCTCAACGGAACAGAGCGGGGCCCGCTGCTCTTTTGTCCTCAGTTTCACTGAGGTGCTGTCCTCGAAGACGTCGTCGTCTCCCATGTCATCGGAGCAGAAGTCTGTGCTCTCCACCAGCACGCTGGAGGACTTCTCCGCTTGGAAGTGACTGGAATAGCTCTCCAGCTCGTGGAACTTATGCAGGCTGCTGGTGCTGGAGGTGTGGGAGAAGGAAAAAAGGTAACGCAGCAGTTTTTTGCTCCTTGAGGTGTCATAGTCCACTTTGTCCTCCAGCAAGGGGATATGCACAGCGCTGTGGTTCTCGGCTCCTCCCGAGGCGCTCGAGTAGTTGGAAAGGGAAGGGAGGTAGGAGTGCTTAGAATTGCTAAAAGAAAGAGGCCTGAGACTGAGCGGTTTCCTCTCTTTGAGATGAAATTTGTTAATCCTCAAACACTGCTCTTGAGCCGGGATCAGCTTGCCTTCCGAGCGCGTCCGCTCCACGTAGTCAAAGCCCTCGCTGGTGCCCTGCGCCTTCTGGTCCACGTCGTTGAGGGACTTGGAGAACTTCAGGGCACGGGTGGGCTTCACGTTCTTAGCAGACCTGAGAGCCTGGCCCCGATCCTGCCCGCGGGGGTTTCTCTTGGCTGGGTGTAAGGCGTCCTGACAGATTACTGTCACCGTGACCCCTTGTGTCAGAGGGCTCTGGCAGTGAGGATTTTTCAAGACAACAGCGGACTGCACTGGACTGTGATGACAACACTCAGAAAACACTGCACTGGAACTGCATGCAGAACAGTGGAATAAAAGCACAGAAAGTGAAAAAAAAAAAAAACAAACCAACCCAACAGATTACGTAAGAGAACACGTATAATTAAAAAGCGAAGAGATGAGAATTACAGCTAGGGTGGGAAGGGCAAACATAGCAGGGGGCTGAACGGTCAGTGGGATTCGACGAAGCGGTGTTAGGCAGCAGTCGAGTCAAACAAATGGGACACCTCAAATGGGAACCCCCACATCGCTTACTTCCCCGTACACATTGTGCTTTTTCAGTGTGGGTTTTGCTTAATTTGGACCTCGCAGGGACCTGACTGTAGCCCCGCGAACAACAGACTTTACCTGCAGATGTCCTGGTTGGATGGGGTAACAGAAGTCCGAGAGAAGCTATGGGGGGCAGAGATGGAGGTTGGACTTCCAGCCTGCAGTGAAATGAAAACAAACAAACAGCAAGTCACAAGTGGGAAGAGTTTTTGGTACGTACAGCCATCGCCTTCGGGGTTAAACACAGCATATGGAGGCAGATATCGCTCTGTATCAAATGCTCAAGGGCCAGTGGCAAGGAAGTGGCTTTACTGTAGAATGCTAAAAAGGGAGGTGACGCAGCCTCTTCCCTGGAAAAGCAGTAATCAGATCAGAAATGTTTCCTCCCAAGGTCACACGCGGCCATCTCTGGCTTGGAACCCGCCAGCTGTCAAACATCGCACGAAACAATAGCTCAGGAAATGAGCAACGCTACGGTAATTAGAATAATTAGATGGAGGTGTGTGTATAGACTAGTCGGAATTTAGCTTCCTCATAATAGCTAATTCTTCCACTTAGAACGATGTCAAGAGATTAGAGGCTTGGGTTGGGTTTTTGTTTTTTTTTCTATTTCACAAGGCAGTAATTCAGTCACTCAGACACTACTTGGGGCTTATTTTCCATCCTGGCATATGCACATGAGCACCATCTGCCAAACCAGACCATTCCCCAAAGTACTCTTTGTACTTCGCGAGGCCCTTCATCCTCCTCTCCCTCTTGACAGGGTCCTCCACCTGCTTGGAGAAGAGGTGCGGCAGCAGTCACATTCATAAGACCCACCAAGAGAACAGTGAGAAGTCAAATAATGGAAGAATTCAGCTGAATTAACTCAAAAAGATAAAGCATATTGGCTTATTAAACACTTAACAGACAAGCCTCCAAAAATCAATATGGTGAGAATGATCATTGTCTCAGAGCTGGGTCGATGGGCTGTTATTCCTGCCGCTATATTCTGTGGGTCACTAACAGAAACTTCTCGACTCTTCCTGGAGATCTCTCAATTCTAAACTTCATTTATTAAAAGCCCCTATTTAAACAAGGTTTCTCTTCCCAACAGCACTGCAGTGGGCAACGTATCTGGCCTCATACTGGGATGTCCCAAGCCTGAAAAAACAGGTATCCATTTACCGCTGGGTCTGCAAGAGTCGAGGGCAAGACTCCAACACACACCTCCTGATCCACAGGAAGACTCCGTAACTTATTTCACAGAATCACAGAATTCTATGGGGTTGGAAGGAACCTCTGGAGATCATCCACTCCAACCCCCTGCCAGAGCAGGGTCACCCAGAGCAGGTCCCACAGGAACGTGTCCTGGTGGGTTTGAATGTCTCCAGAGAAGGAGACTCCACCACCTCTCTGGGCAGCCTCTGCCAGGGCTCTGCCACCCTCACAGGAAAGAAGTTCCTCCTCGTGTTGAGATAGAACTTCTTATGTTCCAGTTTGTGCCCATTTCCTCTTGTCCTGTCCCTGGGCACCACTGAAAAGAGACCGGCCCCATCCTCCTGACACCCACCCTTGAAGTATTTATAGGCATTGATCAGATCCCCCCTCAGTCTTCTTTTCTCAAGACTAAAAAGACCCAAGTCCCTCCACCTTTCCTCGTCAGAGAGATGTTCTAGTCCCCTCATCATCTTTGCTGTACCCTCTCCAGCAGTTTCCTGTTCCCTGTAGGATTTCCCATCCTACGCAGCTTAATGTATGTGCAGAAAATTCCCCAAGAGAATAGCCTTGGGCAAGAGAACAAGCTGACCTATGTTATATGATTGCAACAAAGCAAATTAAGGACTAATTACTAGCTTTGTCCTGGACACTATGGTTCTTCCCGTTTTACACCACTTGCACACGCTGATGACAGACAATGCTGATGACACAGTGAGATGAATTCAGGTATTACTCAGAAATTTGTTCTCTATTTAATGCTTAACCTCTCCTAAATGCAGGTACCTCTCTGACTTCAAATCCTCTCTTTTAAAATGAGTTTGTGTGGTAATTACTTTTTTTTAAAGGAAGACTGACAAGTTAGTGAAAGACCTGACACACTATAATCTGCTGCTGTAATTATGCAAATGCAAATTAATAAGACTGAAATAATGAATTATTTAAAAAGACATATTTAGCAATCTTCTAAAAACAAAATATTGAACAAGTAAAGCAGCATGTTGCATTCTGCCATGGAAACAGAGCCATATAGTGCTGGAAATGGAGGCACAAATCAATTAATAAATCTGTCTCGGGTTTTACTTTATAAGCAAATCACAGAAGGTAACCTGCTTACAATGAATCCGATCTCTCTACTCCTTCACTTTAGCAATGAAGCTTTTTACAAAAAGAGAAGATGGGTATATATGATGTGAGTGTCTAATAGCAGATGAGTAGATTCAATGATCCAAAATTTCCCTTCCGAAACCACGTTCCTGGTTTCTTGATCCACTGGCACCAAGACAGCACCAAAATCTTGTCACTTGGGAAACTGAGAAGCTGGGACAAACAAGAAAGTGTGGAATTTCATTTTCAATTTCATTTCACGCTCACTATTCCCTTTCTGTTCAGGACAGCTTGCAAAAACCCCACATCTGAGGCACGCTTCCTTTTCCTCCTCTTTTCCTGCTCCAGTACAGGAGCTCCCCTGCTCCATCTTTATACATAATGCAAATACAACCAAAATAGGAACAGAAGCTACCACGCTTGGAAAGGCACCACAAAGCGGAACAACAAAACACTGGAGGAAGTTTCGCCTCCACCCTGGGTTTAAGCTCACGTCAGCTGTGGGGGCCACCAAAAGCCACGGCTCAATGAGCCTCCAGTCTCTCCGTCCATCCCTCCTTTCCTTCCCACGCTTTTTGGTGGTGAAACTATTTACCCAGCTGGATTGCAAATCACACAAGGGTGGTGAGGTGAGGGAGAACTAACCACTCCTTGCAAATCAGATGAGGGTGGTGAGGTGAGGGAGAACTAACCACTTCTTTGACTGAGCTTGTTTAACGCCAGTCACTTCCCCACCTTCAGGTGCTGGAGGAACATCAGTCCGTTAGGGCAATGAGCCTCCAACGGTGAGGCACAACTCAACGGCAAGACAAGAGTAAAATGCAAACTGCTGCCAAGAGCCCAAGATATAAGTTCTGCCAGCCCTAGAAGCAGAGGTGCACAAGCACACAGCTCGCCTGGGTTTACTGACATCAGCCTGAGAGGTGCCTCAGAAAAGAAGAAACCTGGTGGTCTTGGGCCAGAACAAGGCAAAGAAGAGGCAACGCGATGGGTGAATGCAATAGAGAGGTGGATCCAGCTGCCTGGAGCTCTGAGGTTGCTCCCAGGCAAGGCTCAGCTCTGAAGAGGCTGGGAAAATAAGCAATTAAAGCCTTCACTGCTCTGTAGCTTCTGGCGCACACACCATCCTCAATGCCCCACCAGCAGCACCTTGGCTGGACTGGCTACTTAGAGTGGTGACAATGGTAACAGGTTTTAAAGCACTCCTTGTCACAGGGGGTTTTTGCCATGCTTATTACGTGGTGGGTGGCCTAAGCCTCAACCCTTCTAACTCCACTTGCTGAATCTCTGTGGACTTTCATGCCTTCAAATGGCGGAATATCATCACCTCCAATGATGAGCACCAGGAGTTACGTGCTAGTGACTTACCCTGAACAGCCAGACTAGTTGCCTAAAATAGCTCTGGACTAAAAGTCAATAGTTAGTTAATTACGTATATTGACATTCCCATCTACTGCAATTCAGTGAGGTCACACCGTGGCCTTCTACACTGGTGGGGAGATATTGGCAGTGACTCTGAAGGCAGCAATTCCTGGAGGTGATTCTACCCCTCTGCTCCGCTCTGGTGAGACCCCCCCTGGAGTCCTGGTGTCCAGCTTTGGAGTCCTCAGCACAGGAAGGACACAGACCTGCTGGAACAGGTCCAGAGGAGGCCACAAAGATGCTGAAAGGGCTGGAGCACCTCTGCTGTGAGGACAGAGGTGCTGAGAGAGTTGGGGTTGTTCAACCTGGAGAGGAGAAGGCTCTGGGGAAACCTTAAAGCCTCTTCCAGCCCCTAAAGGGGGCTCCAGGAGAGATGGGGAGGGACTCTTGATCAGGGAGTGGAGCCATAGGACAAGGGGTAATGGTTTTAAACTGAAAGAGGGGAGATTTAGATGAGATCTTAGGAAGGAATTCTTTGCTGTGAGGGTGGTGAGGCACTGGCCCAGGTTGCCCAGAGAAGCTGTGGCTGCCTCATCCCTGGAGGGGTTCAAGGCCAGGCTGGATGGGGCTTGGAGCAACCTGGTCTGGTGGGAGGTGTCCCTGCCCAGGGCAGGGGGTTGGAACTCAATGATCTTTAAGGACCTTTCCAACTCTAACCATTCTATGATTCGCTGTAGGGTTGCCATCAGGAAGATATATATCTTTATATAAATGTGTGTGCACATATATATGTACATATGTGCACATATTTATACACACACACGTGGGCTGCCACAGCTGGTTGTTCTCATTCTGCCCCCACTCCATGAACAGCGTGATCTGTTGGTGAAGGAACTCGGCCTTTTCTGATTACCTACTTTGAGTACACGCTGCACACTGAAAAGCAAAAAACCCATCCTGCCTCCGAAAATAAAATCATCTTTGACGTGAGCCACAGTGAACATGTCAGTGGCTTGGGTACATTCCAAGATAACCTGATTATCCGAGATGGCACTTCTGGATATAGTTGCTGTCGTCTCACTCTGGGCTGCACTTTAGTACTAGCAATTATACCTCATTTTAAAGAGCAGGGCCTGTCACAGTCTAAAAACCTTATTAAATTATTCATTAGAGGTTAAAAGTTAGAAACAACTTCACTCCAGAAGGATTCCTCCACTGATTAGAAGTCTGAAGGAACTTTAGCACAAGGAGCTTCAGACAAATACAAATTCAGCGATAGAGCAAGGAGCCAAACACTCCACAGCCCAAATTTCAACCTGGCGCCTTGATTATGGGTTTGCCCTTATTTTACACTGTGATGAACCCGTTTCAAAGCCATGATCTTCTGTTGGGCTGAAATAAAATAAAATAAGAGAGAGTGGTTTCTGTCTGCCTCTCTTCCCCATAAGAGCAACAGGAGCACAGTGAGGGTCTTCTATGCTCAGCCAACTCC